TAGATTACTATCTTTCTTCACTGTATGAGGTGTGGGGACGCTGGTACAAGGCAACCAATGTACTATAAATGGCTTCAGGATTCGACACCTATTTAGGAAAAATTTCTCAGCAAAACATGGAATAAAAAATAACTTCCTAAAACATGATATAAAGGTTACACACTAAATGTCTGTGGTTAACATTAAACTTAATGATGAAAAATTGAACACTTTCCCCTAAGATCAGTAACAAGGCAAACAGATCTATTCTTATCATTCCTATTCAACACTGTACTGGAGGCCAATGTAATAAGGAAAAGAAATAAAAGGCATAAGATTGGAAACAAAGAAATAAAAGTCTTCATTTGCATATGATCTGATTATCTATGTAGGAAATACCAAAGAACCTATAAGAAAAATATTAGTACTAACAAGTAAGCTTTGTAAGGTCACTGGTCACTGGACACAAGATCAATATATGAAAAGAAGTTGTATTTCTGTATCCTAGCAATGAACAATTAGAAAATTGAAATATAAAACTGTAAAATATATATCAAAAGAAACTACATACTTAGAAATAAATCTTAGAAACAAAACATGCAAGATTTACATGCCAAAAACTATAAAGCATTGGTGAAATAAGTCAAAGAAGATTGAAATAAATTGATAGGTATACCATGTTAATGGATTGGAAGACTCAATATTGTTAAGCTATCAACTCTCCCTAAATTGATCGATCAACAGATCCAACACAATCCCAATAAAATTCCAGCATGACTTTTTTTGTAGAAATTGACAAGCTGATTTTAAAATTTATATGGAAAAGCAAAGGGATTAGAACAGCCAAATGTTAGTAAGAACAACAGACTTGGAGGACTCATAATACCTGATAGATTTACTATAAAACTACCATATTGGAGAAAGGATAAATAGGTCAATGGAAGAATAGAAAGTCAAAAAACAGACCTGCACATACATAGTCAATTGATTTTTGCCTAAGATACCAAGGCAATTCAATGCAAAAGAATGAACTTCAATCCTATCTTGTACCCTAGTAAAAATTAACTCAAAGTGCATCAGTGGTTGCCAGGGACAGAGAGTAGGGGGAAAGACTGACTACAAAGAGATATGGGGGACTTTTGAGAGTCAGTTATAACACTGCTCTATATCTTGATTGTAAAGGTGGCTATCAACACTCTCGACAATAGCCAAATTGTGGAAAAAGCCTAAATGTCCATCAACTGATGAATGGATAAAGAAATTGTGGTTTATATACACAATGGAGTACTACGTGGCAATGGGAAAGAATGAAATATGGCCCTTTGTAGCAACGTGGATGGAACTGGACAGTGTGATGCTAAGTGAAATAAGCCATACAGAGAAAGACAGATACCATATGTGTTCACTCTTATGTGGATCCTGAGACACTTAACAGAAACCCATGGGGGAGGGGAAGGAAAAAAAAAAAA